AAAAAAAAAAAAAAAAGAAGAAGAACAAAACTACTAAAAGATTGTTTTTCTCGTTTGTCGAGTTTCTCAACAAAACGCGCAAACCTTATCGTGTTTCTACTTTGCAGGCCGAGCAAATGGAGAATCAGTACACTCTGACGTGCTCGAACGGGAGCAGAAACGGTACATTCTCGCTCGTTAGCCCAACTCCTGAGCAGATACATGGATTGTGTCTCCAGCTTTGTGGATAGACTATTAGTTAGTTGTGATCTTTTTTCCCTTGATAATTTAAAATTGTATAGAAGATGTGATATAAAGGGGATTGGCTTAAGGAATTTATTTGTTAATATTATTTTTATAAATTTATTTCCACTTTTTTATTTATATTAATTAATAATATTATCTAGAGGTCTTTTTTTTTTTTTTTTTTTTTTTNNTTTGTGGTACAAAAAAGAGAAACATATTATCTAGAGGTCATTAATTGTATATTGGTTATGGGGAAAATAGCAGGCCCAATCTGCAACAAATGTAGTCTGGTTTTTTTTGGGATAAGTCCACCAATACCACACCAGCCCACATCTATATCTGATGGTTAAAAAATAAATAAATAAATAAAATTGCAAAACCACATGCATTGAATAAAAAGGATCCCACCACATGGATCTCTGACACATGAAATGTGTCAATTTGGTATGTTTAAGTCATATTTTCTCTGAAATAGTTTACAATTTAATTTAAATGCAATGCAGTTTCTCGTTATTCTATCTGACATGATAAATGAATTAAATTTATTATATATATATATGTGTATTATTTTTTCTTAAAGTAAATGTACAGGATAAGATTTCGTGTATCACTTATATTTATCACATATATTACAATTTGATTATAGTATCGTTACACGTTTCCTCAATTAGTGAAGCTGTAATTGATTTAAGCTCGAACTTTTTTTGTTTCTCGGTACAAGAAAAGGAGGCATCCTAACTACGACGGGATTAACACATTTCCAAGGATAAGACACTCCCGAAGGAGGATTATCCAAGATATGTAAACCACCAGGCCCTTGAGCCGCAAGCAAGGCCAAAAAATATGTAAGAAAGTTTGATTCTCTATAACCATGCTGTAGGACCGTATGCAAGACCGCTTGCCGCTATCTACCCAAGAGCTCCTTTACACCCCGCAAGACGCTCGTGTGTACTCCCCAACAAAAGTCCCCGTTCACCATTGCAACAATACTTTGATATTTATCAACCATAAAAAGTTACTCCTAGTCCTCGGTAAATGCAAAAATTATCCTGATAGTCAACTCCATGTAATCAAACCTTATAGACTTGGCAATATTTTTTTAATGTTTGTAAAGTTTTGTTTTTTTTTTTTTACCACCGACCAAGCAGAGGTAATTGAGAAAATTAAGGTATATTGTTGCAAGTTAAAGAAGAGGTACGGAAACATTTGAAGCGAAAAGTACGATCCTTTGCTTAGATGTTAGAAAACCGTTTGCCATTATTTTTAGCATAACAATAAAATTTGTTCAACAAGGAACTAAATAATCATTTTTTTAATTGCACACATCGATGATGACAATGATCTTAATTACTTGAGTAAAATATATATGGTCAACTTATACGTATCTGTATTTGTTATTTGAGTCGAGTTGTTTACGAACACTACAACTCATGAAAAACTCGAGCTCGACTCGCTCGTTCACCTAAATGAGTCGGGCTCAAACGACTAATTAATCGAGTTTGTTTGTTAAACGACTCAACCCGAGTTCGTTCGCGAACAACTCGATCGTTTATTTTCTTTTATAGGTTTTTGAACAAATATTCGAGTCTAGCATGTTCGTGAACACAGGAAATTACGTGCGCGAAAAGCTCGCTTACAAATATGGATTAGTTAAACGAATAGAGTAGAGTCGAGCATTTGACTCGTAATTTATTAAACGAGTACAAGCGCAAATACAAAGTGCAGGTTTTTCTTGGATAGTGGTGTTATTCATTGCAATAAAATTCAAAGATTAATTGAGATGGGAAGACATAAGTCCATAATTCAAGCCCAACTCTAAGCCCCATGCAAACTGTAAACTGTAAGATTAAATTAATTGTATTGTAAATTAATATATAAATAAATATATGTGTTAATCTGAGTCAGAAATATAATAAGAGCGATATAATTATAAATCGCATATTTGCATGTGAGCTTGGATCCCTAAGTATACGTACACTCTAAAAGTCAAAGCTTATACGGAAGTAATAAACTATTGGTCAACCTTTAAAGGTCAAAGTTAACATTAGTACTTACATTGGTTTTGTTATTAAATCCATATATTGTAATTTTTTAAACAATTGTATACCTTTATTATAAAATGCCATATTATAAAAGAATGTGAACAAAATTAAGTATGACATTTGATAGTAAAATACGAAAAGAATTGCATGGTTTCTTGGTTCGGGCTATTCGGGAACTATTCAACCGAGCCTGGGAGGTAAAAGTGACTCATTGCTATCGCGAGGCTAACTTTGCGGCTGATTGCTTGGCGACTCTTGCCCATAGTGGTCCCAGTGGGTGCCACCGCTTATCTGATCCACTGTTAGACGTAAAACCGTGGTTACAACATGACTTGATTGGCATTGCGTACCCGCGGCACATAACTGTCTGATGGCTTTAGGCATTCGCCTCCTTCTTTGTACCAAAAAAAAAAAATACGAAAAGAATTAGTATTAGAGTTAAAGATCACGGTTTTGCTATGAAGCCAACGGTTGGCTCCATAGTGAAGCCAACGGTTGGCTCCATAGTGGAGCCAACCTTCTATATACAACAAGTAAACCTACCATATTCTTTGATTACTTAAATAACATTAATACAATTTTATTAATATGGTAGGTTTATTTGTTGTATATGGAAGGTTGACTCTACTATCGAGCCAACTGTTTGTTTCGTAGCAAAACCATTAAAGATCAATTGTAAATGACCATTTCTTTATTGGCATTTTTAAATAAAATATTCAAAAACACTATACATATATAATAGTATGTACAAATTATGGTATATCAATAAATTATTCATATTGGGGACTATATTGGTGATGTGTCTAAGAAGTTCAACATCAATAATTTCCTAAATTAAATTATTTAAATTATATAATTTAATATACATACAGTTTTCTAGACACTCATAATTAAATTTGATAATTAGTGTACTCTAATTATCGTGGGATTTAATTTGATATAATTAGTGTACTCTAATCATTGAAGCCGAATTGTAAACAAGACGCCAATTATCGTGACACATCAATTTGATATTTATGTCCAAAATGCACGAAACAAAAAACTTAAATATATACATTGTACTACAATTTAGAGAACAAATCTTTGATTAAATGCAATGTTTGAATTAACCCTAACCAAACATGCATGTTGGTTTTGGTACCAAAATCACATGCCTCGGGGCCTAATTAACAACCATCTAATTTAATTTACATTTAATTAAAATCTTCTTGACTATATTAAATATGGATATATACAATGTTAAAATTCTTGAGGGAGAGCTTTGCCGCCCTTGTGGTCTTACCCGGCTCGATTTTGGATTAGTCGATTCTCCTGTAGATTTGGAAATCGGAAGGTCCCTGTACCAAAAAAAAAAAATTGAAAATAGAGGAGAGAAAATAATAAAAATAAACTGAAAAAAACAAGAAAAATAATTAACAGGGCACGTGGAGGTGCAAGCAAAAAATGTCAAAAAAGAAGACAAAAATAATTCGGTTCACATGTGCATTATTTGGATGTTTTTGAATTATTAAAAATATATATATAGTTTTGCACCAATTTTTTTTTTTTTTTTTCTTTCCAGATTTTCTTCACCCACATCCTATCAGCACATGGCCTTCTTTAAATGCACTTGACGTGCTTGTATGTATTTTTTTTTTTTTGTATGTATATGTTCACTATACGCTATTTATAAATTAATATAATATATGTTTGCACTTTTACATATATATAGTCCAAACATTTCATGGGCCTTAGAAATAAAATTTCTCATTTGTGCATATATCTAACATGAATCGTGCTACAATAATATAATAATAGATATAAATTTGTCATATTACCACGCAGTCAAATCATATCGTTTCACGCATTACATCAACTTTAAAATCACTATATATACACGTCGAATATAAAATCAATACTTATCTATGAATATTGCGCTGCCATTGTCAAACGAAATGGCCCGCTCATAAGTTCGGCAACATAAAATTGAAGATGACTCGAGCTCGTTAAGACTCTTTGGACTCCATAAATAAACGTTTTTACACTGAATTTTATCACATATCAGTGCGAGCGAGCCATCTTTGGCCCTCGCAGCTCAACCATGTATGAGAGTTTGGTTTAATTCGTTGACAGCTCTAATAGTGACTTAATAGACATAAATCATGTTGGATGCCAAATTGAATTTTCTTGTCGGTACTATTTTTATGTAATTTGGGATTGGCTTGTTTCTTGTAATTAATTAATTACTTACTTGTAATGTTAAAACAACCATTAAAAGGCAGACAACTTGGAAAGGAAAATAGACATTGCCTATTTAAAGCTATTAATTATTTAATTTTGAATTAACTCAACGCTGTCAAACTAGGTGTTGTTTCTGTTTGCACAATTGCACAAAGCACAATTCATTATACTTTTGTGATTAAAAAAAATAAAAAATGTTTACTTAGGTTATAAAATGTCTTATTTTGTGTTTGCAATATTTTCTTAAATATGAAGTACCACTAATATATATATATATATATATATATA